CCCATCAAGGTAATCATATCGGATTCCCTCAATAGATGTGATGAATTCTTTATCAAGCGAATTTGAATCACAAAGTATCTTCTACCATAGAGAAGAAATACCAACCATCTTCTACTACACAGAAGAGACAATCCTGAAACTATAATAAGATCTTCTATTACATAGAAGAAAGTAAACTCTGAATGTAGAATTCTACCTTTGAGGTATTTTCTTTCTACACAGCAGTAAATGTCCAAGATCTCGATATCTTATGCTTCTTCATCATAGAAGTACCACCCCATCTTCTACTACACAGAAGAAGCACTCAGCTGAGAAGAAAGAGTCTGAAATGGTTTTCCAAACATGGACTGAACCTTGGAAAAGAAGTCATAGGAGTTCCGGAATTCATACTTCAACATCTTGCAGTTTTCAATATCATAACCAGGTGCCCTAGAATGGGAGTACATCTAGCATTTGCATCGAAATCAGGAGAGAAAATTATGGGAGATGACCCAAAGCATGAAGCTTAAACAATTGAGCTTCCAACACATGAGGAAGTAACTGGATGCAAGGTATATAGATTGTATCAACATGCTTCTCAGTTTTCTTCTGTCTTTGTTGATAAGCTTTGCCCCATGGTTTCACTTGGAGACCAGAAACTAGCTATTGATGAGAAAATCTAGGAACATGAAGTTCTAGGTGAGACCCACAAAGTATCTCTCAATTTGAAAAATGTCCCATATGTTGGAGATGAATGACAGATTCTGTTGTAACAACATATATAAGATCACTTTCCTTTGTTGACAGTGTCTTCAGAACTTCCATACCCGACTCAACTAAGTCTTCAACTGGTTATTTCTCCCTTGAGGATTTCTGACTACGAGCCATTGCTTACATGTCCCTAATAAATAACCTCATCTAATTTTTCTATTCATCATCTCATCCAATTCCCCACGAAGTCGTTCCATGGCTTTTTCGGATCACGGTGCAGTGAGAAGTCAAGTTTCACAGTTCTAAAAAGAATACCAGGCTTGAATAACAATTCCCCACTTTGAGTACCTGTTATGAATCCACGAAGATGCATGAGGTGAATGAGTAGATGCAATGGCATGTTCAATCATTTTCAAGGAACCCACATGCTTTTAGTTTCGATTTTGATCCAGTAAAAGACGACAAACACATCATAACGTTCACAAGCACGATTTCTTGGAAATAGAAAGAACATTTGTGTTAATTTTTTTTTCATGCATACGTTTTTTACACATTTCTTTTTTTGTGAAAATAAATATGCTATGACGAAGGTGTAAAACCATAGGTTCAAAAGTTCAGCATAACAACTGTACAACACTTTGGATAACTGCTGTATAAATATGCTTAATAATCTGAATATCAAAGGATCAAAGGTTTGGCACCAATTTAAGAACACAATGGAACCAAGTACCATGAATAACCATTGTATAATCTATGGACAAATTGAATATATCAAGATCAAAGGTCTGGAACATGAACAAAGAATCATAGTCACCAATAAAACATACGCTCACCATCAGAACATAGTCACCAACTGTACCTGTGATAATCAAGTCCCTCCTCACTCACGGGTGAAAACTAGTTCAAGGTAAGGTCGGGTAACCCAGAATCACGGGCTCGCTTGAGAGTGCTATCATCGTACACCTACATGATATTGATAGCACCTCATTAAAACCTTATATGAGCATGGGTGACACATCCTTCTAGGGTAATCTACATCCCCATCCATCGTGTTCCACCATATCCCTAGTGTTCCTGTTGTTATTCACTTGGCCTGGGTATTGGGCCTTTTACCTCGTAATAATATCCACCCAACAAAGAAACACAGAAACCAGCACAACAACAGTATAACATATAAAATACATGCAAACACATGCACAGACAAACATGTACAAAATGAAAAATCCATAAAGCATACAAATAAACACTCAACAAAAAGAAAACAAGAGCTAGGAGCGACTCCGAGATTGACCAGCATTTGGTTTCATCCATTCCTCAGTGAAGTCGCCAATTGAAATAGTCGGTTGAACAAATCATCAATATGAAATTAATGAAGTCGCCATCAAATATTTTTTATCCCACAGGAAGGGAGAGGTAAACATCGGGTAAACCTGAGAAGGGTGAAATCATGATCAAATGACCGAGAGATCAGGTAAGGGAGTCTGTTATGCGAGGGGAAGGTATTAGCACCCCACGTGCCCGTAGTAATCTACGGTATCCACTCTTGTTGTTCTAATCAAAGGGTGTGTTTCAAATACAATTCTTAAGAGCTAAAAAGAAAATGCAAAGAGGGAATGCATGCAAAATAAAATAGAAAATAATGTAGGGAAAATAAAGTTGTACTCGCTTGGGCCCTACCCCAACGCTTACGTATCCTTTTTAAGGAATCAAAGTTACCGTAGTTCGGCTCACATGTTTTGATTTGTTTTGTGTTTTTTAATAAACAATATTAATTTTGCCTTTTGTCGTAGCTCGGCCTTTGGAGACTCACGCGTCAGCATAAAAGTGAATTAACATGTTCTACCTAACAAGGTATTTGCAAAGAAAAATGCTCGAAGGCAGATAATGCTACATTCGTGCTCTAGTAAAATTTAGACATAGTGCCACCTGACATTTGAGGGTTTACGCGTCGTGTTGCGTAGAGTGGAATTAATACATCCTTTTGAAAGTTTCGAAGAAAGGCCCGAAGGAGGAAAAAGTTTGCATTGGTTGATGATTTTTACCTTGAAAAAGGATTTGAAAATTGTTAGATGTTTTATGCATTTTCCAAGAAAATGGTTTTAATTTTAATGCAAGGATGCAAAAGAAAGAAAAATATCTAAGGGAGACTATCCTAAATCTAATCCCTAATGTTATCATACAATGATGTCCCTATGGTTGAGTTTTGAAAGGGAAATATCTACCCTATGTTAGCATACATGGATACATATCCTAATGTCTAGCTCAAAAGTTACTCTAATCGAGCGATCCTAAGGGAAGCATGGTATAGAAGATAAATAAGAAAACAAGTGCTTTGGAAAAAGCACACAAACACGAGTAGCACATACTGACTCAAAGGGATGGGGAAACAAGAGAAATGATTTAGCTGAGGGGAGCGGATAACACGAAGCAAACAAGCGGGAGACAGATGAAATAAAAAAGAAAAGAAATTCTTTAGCTAAGGGGAGTGGATCACCCAAAGCAAACAAACGGGTAGCGAAGTATCAACAATTAGGGGTGTTCAAATCCAAACCAATCCAAATAAAAAACCGAAAACCGATCCAAAAAACCAAAAACCATAAAAAACCGAAAGTTATTGGTTGTGTTTGGATGTTATTTTATGAAAACCGATCGGTTCGGATTGGATTTCGGATGAATTTTTCAAAACCGATCCAAACCAAACCGAACCGCGTAAATATATTTTGATACTTATTTACTTTTTATTAGTATGACATGTTATGTGAATTTATTATTAGATGATAATAATTTTTTTAATAATATTTATTAGTTTGGTATAATCTATTTATTTTTATTATTTCAAGCATAATCAATCACTCTCATTTTGTAATATTAACTTTTAATATACTATATGTTATATATTATATCAAATCTATGATTTATTAGTAGTTTTATAATATTAATAAAAATATAATGTGTAATTTGGATATCCAAAAACCGATCCAAATTAAACTGCATAAAATTGGATCGGATCAGATTGGATTTTTTTAAATATATCATCCAAAACCGAACCGAATCTTAAGTGAATTAATCTTTGGATCGGATGAGTTTTTGCTTTAAAACCGATCCAAACCGAACCGCGAACACCCCTATCAACAATGGACATTGCAAACTCCTGACAAAGTGTGAGGGTTTGATTGTGAAACCCTTTTCCACATGACTGACTCGATACACATGATCTGCACAACTCTGAAGCATCGGCGCACAATGCGAGCTAAGGATGACACGGACTAGAATGTGCGGGGTTTGATTGCAAACCCTTTTTGCTCGCCTCCTTTTGAGGACTTCAATAAGGGGTGATGTAATAGATGTGAGTACAAATGTAAACACACGTGCGAAATACATACTTCAAAGGTAGGATTTTAAACAAACCACAAACACAAGTAGCACACAAATGCACATAAATACAGAAGTTCCTTAAACATGTATTTAAATAAACCAGAGGGGATCCTGACATGATCACCAACATAAATCCTCATCATAAATCTCTATTCGTACTTCTCTTGGCATCAGAAATCAGTAAAGCTCATACTTCTCATTATATCTAGAAAAGCGGTAAAAATACATAATTAGAATGATACCAAACGAACAATAGTTCGTAGCATATAAGGAAATACGGAGAAACCCAAAAAACTTCGAGTAAGCTTCACCAAGTATCATAGAAGAGTCAGAAATCAAATGCTCAGAATAAGCATCGAAGTATCATCGATGTGAAAATAAATCACAATCGGAATCCCAAGCATATCCACATATCGCACAATAAACCTGCATAAGACTCAGATCTCAACAAGCAAAGCTGAATTATAAATCTCAAGTAATCGGATAATCCTGATTTAATTTCCAAAATCAAATAAAAATATATAACAAATTTTATTGATTTTATTATTTTTATCTTGTGAAGAAATGGTAAAATAAAATTGAAACAATTAAAAAATATACAAAATGAAATAAAGCCATGCGGGGTGCAAGAAAGAGAAGAGGTGTTGTATAGAAAGCACTAGTGGCGCAGAGGCCCAACCAATTAGTCCACAAACAAGCTTTTTTGTGAGCACCTCAGATTATCAAAAACTCAGTGAGCCAAAGCATGGGGGAACTCGGTCCAATTTCCCTTTCGTTGATCCAATAACCCAAACAAATCCCAATTCAGCATCTTCCAATTCCCAATTTTCTCATTAATTATACTTGATTTACCATATTTTCTATTACCAAATTGGAACAATCAGAAGTAAAAAGAGAAGAAACGCACACGTTTTGTAGATTAGGTCCAGAATGTGATGGTTCCACTTTACAAACTCTCTCTTCTTCTCGCGAAACTCCGACGAATTCTTCGTCGTCTTCACCGCTGGAGGCCTTCATCAAACTGCCACAAGATGAACATGAACCCTACCTATTTCGGTCCCCTGAACATGAATCTAGCCTCAGATTTCACCAACTCCTCCTCAATAAATGGGATCGAAGATCTAGAAGTCACAAACCCTAAGTATATTAAGTTATGGATTCACGCGAATGTGAGAAGTTTGATGCAAGCAGTGTTGATTTAGCATGAAATCGAAGTGAGCGATGCAAAGATTTTAACCTGAGAATGAAATTTGGGCTTCGACGGTGAATCACGTACTGCTCCTTCTCTTCACTGCTTCTCGTAGCTCTTCTCCATCTCGTTTATACTTCTTATTTTCCTATTTTCGCATTTTCTATGTTATGATTCTGTAGCAGAATGAAGAGGTGTTGATACATTTTTTTTGTTGAAGGTTAGAGTTTGTAGCAAGGTTGCGAGAGGATGATGATTCGTGGAAGATTGTTAAAGGTTGCAGTAGAGAGTTTAAGGGAATGAAGTTATTGTGATGACGTTGAATCGATGAAGATGATAAAGGATATGTTGAAGATTGAAGGTTAGTGGTTGGCAGAGATGGATAGTGAGAAAAAGAGTTGCAGAAGCAGAGGAATTTAGAGAGAGAGAGAGTGAAGGTCGAAGATGAAGATCAAGGTTCTTCTCTGATTGTTGACGAATGAAGATGAAGATGAAGATGAGAGGAGAAGAAAGAGTTTGTGATGATTCTTCCAGAAATTGGAGAATGTTTGATCTAAGGTAATTTTCTGTTATTATATTCTGTTATTCTGGAAATAGTTAGTTAGAGTTGAATCGAATCTGAGCCATAGCTTTCTAAAATCTGTTATAGGAATCGATGGTCGAGATTAGGCCATTATTTGGTTAGGATGAGCTAGAAATAAGTTGTTAGTTGAATCAGTTTGCAGTTAGTTTCAATTGGGAGTTATCTGATTTTCTGTTTTCACAGTTTTCTGATATACTGGTATTTCTTATGATATTTCTGATCTTTTCTCTGTATTGTTGAGCTGGCTTAATGTTGAACTAATTTTCTGATAAAAATCATTCTCTCTGATTTTTCTCTCACGATTTCCTTTCTTTATTTTCTGAGTTTTTTCTGATCTGAATAATCCTCTCTCACTTTGGCGGTTTCGGTCTTGAACATGGTTTGAATTTACAAGGCTGCTCAATTAGGTTGGTCTGATTTTGTTTTCTAGATAACTGTTTGCTTCTGATTTTTATATGGTGAATTTTCTGGTTATGCGGGTTTAGTTGTGAATTATTTTATGAATTGGTTTTTATCTGTAGGTTAATAAGTTTTTTTGTCATGAACCAATTTTGTACATGCTTTAATTGTAGGGCAGCCGATTTGTTGATACAGATCCTTGGTGATATTGAGTGATGAAGGCATGGCTAAGCTTGGGCCAAATCTTAAGGCTTTTAGTTAATGGTTGAAGTATTTGAATTCGAAGAATGAAGTTGAATGGCATAATAGAATGGCATAATATTGTAACTTGTATGTATTGGCAATAATTGGAAAGTTTGTATTTAAACTTGGATTGTGTACTGGACACTTATGAAATTTGTATGGTTTTGAATGTAATCTTGAATGATGTTTTTTGGAAATTGTAACAATTTGAATGATAATTTTGAATGAATCTTAGCTTCACTTGAATCTTCGGACTTGCTCATGAATAAAGTTGGATGATGATTTGAAATTGAATTTGATCTTGTAATTTTGAACCTGAGGAACATGCCTTGTAAATCGTATGAACCACGAGGATCTTCGAACACATTAAGAACTTGAATGGATTTTGAATAAAACGTTAGACGAATGAATAAGCCTTGCAACTATAATCTGGGAGTTATCCTTTGATTTCAAAATAATCTCGAATGGATTACTTCGTTCATTAAGAAGCTTTGATTATCTTAACGAGTCTTCAATTCCAAATCCTAATAACAAGTTCAACATGCATTGTTCCCTTAATTTCAAATTCCTAATTATCTTGCAATTGAAGTACATGAAGTTCTCGGAATGAAATCAATATGAACATGAATAATACTGCATTCCATAAGCATGAACTTTCCAAACTTTCAACGTTGATCCATTTGATAGACTTGCATCAAGATAACACTTGAATGAACTTTGAATGGAATTGGAATGAATGAGAAATGTCTTGCCATTTGTGTCTTGTTCCTTGCATTCAAAATGAATCATGAATGTTTTTCTTGCATCTTAAGAGACCTTGACAAATTTTGGACAAAAGTTGAAGTAACCGAGGCACTTGAATCGATTTCATATCTATTCATCTTGGATTATTGTTAAATTCCAAATTCAATCTTTAATCCAAAACAAACTTAAATGACAAGCGACAAATGTTATCCATGGCTTTGATTACAATGTAAATCCACAACATCATCCTCGTCATAATTCGTGCTTTGCAATTCAATCCACCAAGACTTTTCAATTTGGTAACTAATGATCTTAACACAAAAGGGATGCCATGAGAAATCTATGAAGATGATAAGACCTGAAGCAATAGAAGTGATGATGATCATAAAGCCCTAATCAATCTTCCCTTTATGAAGAAAGAATCTACAATAACCATGAGCCAAAACCCTAATGCCATAATCCAATGCTGGAAGGAGAATCAGATGAAATTGGATTTATTAGATGTATACATCTCAGACACTATGAAATCCTAGCTCACACAACCAATGAACTTTGAACCTCAGACGCTTTATTGAGTGTAAATGTATGCCATGCTAATGACCTAATGAAAGGATGCAAATGAATGTGAAACCTAAGCCAAATAAAAGAAATTAGGAGGACATATTTTAGGGTGCAACAACTTTATTCAATACCACGAGAGTGTAAGGTTTAGTCTTTAAATTGATATTTTCTACTAAATGTGTTTTTACCGTCAGTATAAGCCAACAAGTTACAGAGTCCCCGAGGTACGCGGAATACACATTTCGACCTCTCTTTATTATCATATTTTCAAATTTACTTTAGTTTTAGTTTTAATTCCCATTAATCCAAGAAATAATTCGCTTTATCTTTACATAAAAACAGTCGATAACATTAGTTTGATTATTAGTCCTTGTGGGTTCAATATCTTTTAAAACTACGTGATAGACTGTGCACTTGCAGTTAGTTAATCTGATAGACTCTTTAAGTCACGATCATTTGTGTGGTTTGATACCTCTCTCCCATATTCTCCAATTAAGTCTTGATTCAGTTTTCTCTAGCTGAGTACGTTTCTTTTCCTAGCCAGGTTGTGACCAAACAGTGTATTTTTACCTTTTCCTGTTATGACATTGTTGCTTTTGTGTGCTCCCTAAGCAACACGCCAAAAGACAGTATCTTTTCGAAGAAGTGTGGAGAGAGATGTCAACTTTTAGGTTTTCTCTCACCGTGTGTTGAGTTTGATTTAAAAATCCCCACAATTTTGACTTCTTGTTGTGATGTTAACTTCTTAGTTTCTCATGTAAACCAAGGATGATATTTCCCTTTAAGATTGTTATCCCCATGAAGTTTCTTTGATCTTCCCCAACAGAGTTTGTATAACCACTATTCTTAATATTGTGTGGTTTCTTTTTAGCAAATGTGGTATCATTTTCCCTAGCGAAGTCCATGTGTTATTTCCTAGAGAAGTTAAGCCTCGGAGTATGATTTTGTTTCCTCAGTTGGTTGCTTACTCTCTTATTGGATTTCTATCTTGGATGCGATATTAGCCTAGTGATGTCTATACCCAAGTTTGTTTTGTCTGGTTATCCCCAGTATAATATGTTTGTTTTGTCAGCATATACATGACATACATTCATTGATTCATACATACATTATGCATAGATAAATTAAAATTCATTGCTTATTTGCATTCGTTAATGTTTATGTTGGTATTTTATCCTCTTTGTAGAGCATGTATCCTCTATCCAATAGAATTTCAACCTTAAGCAAAAAGTGTATATCCTTTCAATCTTCCCACTGAGTTATCCCTCGTGGAAGAATTTTGCTTCAATCTTCCTCCCTGGCTTATTATCTGGATGGAATTAATCCCTATTTGAGTTTATTACTCATTGGGTGGTGTCTTGGTTGACTGTTTCATTCTGGTTTGTTCCTGGTTTGAATTTTGGTCTCTTATAGCAATATTTTTCTGATCTCTATGAGCGGTAAGCCCTAGATTGAGAGTGAATTTATTTTGCATGTGAAGACTTTTTTCTCCTCAGTAGGAATGTGTTTATATTTCCTCAGGAGGTCAAAATTCATTTCCCAATAGTTTTATTGCAATATTATTCTCGACAACGAGTGGTGATCTCTTTACTTGAGAACTTGTGTGTTCCTGGATTCTCTTGTGATGAAAGATGATAGTCTATTTTGAGCAGTCTATTAATTCCCAATAAAGATTATATCAAAGTTTTACCCTTTCCAAGTGGAAGACTTGGTTAAAAAGGGAACCACGACTCATTCATGGCTTATCACCAGAAGTGTGGGGAAGTTTATTATCCAAACTGAGACCCATTCATGGCTTATCGCCAGAAGCGTGGGGAAGTTTATTATCTGAAATGAGACCCATTTGTAGCTTATCGTCTGAAGCATGGGGAAGTTTATTATATGAACTGGGACCCGTTCATGGCTTATCTCCAGAAGCGTAGGGAAGTTTATTATCTAAACTGAGACTCGTTTGTGGCTTATCTCCAGAAGAATGGGGAAGTTTATTATCTGAACTGAGACCCGTTCGTGGCTTATTGTCCAAAGCATGGCGGAGTTTATTATCCAAACTGAGATCGGTTTGTGGCTTATCATCTGAAGCATGGAGAAGTTTGTTATCCAAACCAAGACTCATTTGTGGCTTATCGCCAGAAGCATGGGGAAGTTTATTATCCAAACTGAGACCCGCTCATGGATTATCGCCCGAAGCATGGGGAAATTTGTTATCTGAACCAAGACCCGTTTGTGGCTTATTGCTCGAAGCGTGGGGAAGTTTGTTATCTGAACCAAGACACATTTGTGGCTTATCGCCCGAAGCATGGGGAATTTTGTTATCTGAACCAAGACTCGTTCGTGGATTATCGCCCGAAGCGTGAGGAAGTTTCTCACCTGAACCAAGACTCGTTTGTGGCTTATCGCCCGAAGCATGGGGAAGTTTGTTATTTGAACTAAGACTCGTTCGTGGCTTGTTGCCCGAAGCATGGGGAAGTTTATTATTATCAATGAAGATCATACCTTTAACTGTTGAGTTGGTAGTTTACCGTCATCTGTGAGTCGGTATTATTCTTATTTATTAAAGATGATGTTATTATTTCTCCTCCCTGGGCTTTACCCCAACAGATTTGAGTTCTATTTTCCCAATGGAGTTAAGTTTTCTTTTCCAATGGAGTTAAGTTTTTCCCTAGTCGAGTCAGTAATCTTTTCTCAAGATTACTTCCTTGTTTGATCTTATTTCTCGTATTGTT